GCCCGGCTATTTTTTGGTTGCAGCCATCATTGTTGTTTGGTGGGTCCGGGCTGGGGATTCGAACCCACCACCTTAGGTGTACGTGGCTGGTGCCTTAGCCGGTTGAGCTATAGGTGCCAAGTCGAAAACATTTATAATAAAATACTAATAATGCATAAAATCAAGTTTCATATAATTATAAACCTGCTCTCAAATAACTTCTCACAATATTACCATGTTCTTTTTGGAGAGAATATTTTGTTGTTAAGAACAGATAAATCCTGGCTAAGCAGGACTAATCTTAATGTGCCCCTTGTCTTCCCAGGATAACAGTAAATGGATTAATGGCATGGATGAACAAATTATGTCCTGGGCAACTTCAAGACCTGAGGTCAGTAAAGATGAAGATAATGGTTCTTAGTGAATGTTTTGTTTCTAAATGCTTGTGTGTTTGTGCCCTGGTACAGAGGCTGGCACACTTTGGTACTCAGTATGTGCTTGTTTGAATGAATGGATAAATCTAATTGTGAGGTGATTGTGGTTTCTAGGACTGGCACCTGGGAGGTAAATGTGATGTCTACTTGTGGGGCGCTGGCAGGCATGGACAGCTGGCAGAAGCTGGAAGAAATGTAATGGTGCCTGCAGCAGCTCCTTCATTCTCACAGGCCCAGCAGGTAACTAATAGGGTAAAAATGGAGAAGAAACTTGGAAACTGTCACTTCTAATTCCTTTGCTATCTCTAACTTGCAATATAGGATAAAACTTATCCATTTTATGTTCTGCCGGGAGGAATCATTAATGAAAGTCATGCTGTATAACTTCCAAGTAAAAGCTTCCCTAGGTTTTTATCATACTTAAGTTTTGTTAAAAACTTTCTAAACTTTTCTTGCTTCCAAATGTAATGAGTTAACATCATGATGCATTGAACCAGCCTGGTATAAATATATTTGTAGAAGTTTCAATACTCCTAATAAGTGATTCTGTCTTTGGGGCAATAAACTTCTTAGGATGTTTAGCTGGATTTCATTGACACCACTGACTTCTTCTGATAATCATGGTACTATATATTTCCAAACCCTTCTTGAGGCCCCTGCTTTCTCTTTGGTTCTCTACCTCAGGTAATCCCAGAATGCACAGCTCTTTCTTGTGTATGTTCCCTTCAGTTTTCCCTTTTTTCTAGCCCAGTCTTTAATATTTCCCCCCTACCTTTCCTCTTTCATTTAACTATTTTGTTGTTCTGAACTATTTTAAATTATCAAATGAATCTCCTGCATCTCTTATTTAAATAAGCAGTTTTATAGTAACTAAGGGCTTAAGAGTCCCCATAGTTATATTAACCCTTCTTCTTTATTTAAAGGATAATTGAATTGATAAAGGTCTCTTAAGTATACTAAATATACATAGAATAATTTCAAGTGTTTACATGTTGAAGCTATGTAATGAAAAATAAAATATTTAATTGTATGTTTTTATACTAGGTCATATGTGGTCAGAATTGTACCTTTGTCATCCAAGCCAATGGCACAGTGTTGGCTTGTGGGGAAGGAAGTTACGGCAGATTAGGACAAGGAAATTCAGATGACCTTCATGTGCTGACAGTTATTTCAGCCTTACAAGGTAAAATTCTCCTTAATTAAAAACCTATAACCCAACTATAGGTTTGCATATACTGGAACTTTTCTCAAACCTTTACTAGATAAACTCATATTGGGTTTTTACTTTTATTTAAATTCTAGCTTAAGCATGTATACAACCTTAATTTATATTTAAGCTATATTGTTTTGCAAGTTATTTATCATAGCAATGCTAGAATTCAATGATATGTAAATAACTATTTTTGAGACCCACTGAAGATTGTAAACAAATTCATTAAAATTGCAAAACTATAATGAGGCAAAATATAAAGCAATAGCAGTCATGTATGTGTTTCATTAAAATTCAAGATCAGTTTATGTGGAAATCTGCAAATGTGCTAAAGAGTTTAAAGGGCATCTGTCAGAGTTTTGTGTGACTTGTGGGAAGAACACCTCTGGAGAAACCATGATAAGAGCCCCTGACATGTTACTTAGCTGTACTCTTAGTGACTCTAAAGACTACAAAGAGAGCATGAAGGGGGTTTTGAATTTTTTTTTTTAAGAGACAGAGTCTCACTTTGTTGCCCTCGGTAGAGTGCTCACAGCTCCCAGCAACCTCCAGCTCTTGGGCTTAGGTGATTCTCTTATCTCAGCCTCCCAAGTAGCTAGGACTACAGACACCTACCACAACGCCTGGCTATTTGTTGTTGTTGTTGCAGTTTGGCCAGGGCCAGGTTTGAACCTGCCACCCTTGGTATATGGGGCTGGTGTCCTACTCACTGAGCCATAGGCACCGCCCACATGAAGGGGTTTTAAAGTAAAAGAACTATGAGTTCAGAATAAATTCCTGAGAAGTTCTAAGTTCTTTTCCTTGATATCTAGGTATGAGGAGCATAGGAGCACAACAGTGAGGGTGGGAACATGGGCTGCATTCTTAATGGTTCTACTGGTCCCTAGCTCTGGAACCTTGTACAAACTACTAGACATCTTTGTGATTCAGTTTAGGGCTGCTTGTACTGGCTTGCTCTTATAAGTGCAGCTATCCAGGAGGCCAAGAGTTAGAGATCAGCTTGGGAAACATAGTGAGACCTCTCCTCTAAAATAAAATTTAAAACATTACCCTGTGTCTGGCAGTGCCTGTAGCTCAGTGGGTAAGGGCACTGGCCACATACACCGAGGCTATGGGTTTGAGCCTGGCCTTGGCCAGCTAAAATAACAATGACACTTGCAACAACAACAACAAATAGCTGGGTGTTGTGGCGGGCACCTGTAGTCCCAGCTACTTGGGAGGCTGAGGCAGGA